TCTGTTCGTCTTTCTTTCTGTCTGTCTGTCTGTCCATCTGTCTATCTATCTGTCTGTCCATCTGTTCATCTGTCTGTCTGTCTGTCCATCTGTCTATCTGTCCATCTGTTCGTCTTTCTATCCATCTGTCTGTCTGTCCATCTGTTTGTCTGTCCATCTGTCTATCTGTCCGTCTGTCTGTCTGTCTGTCTGTCTGTCTGTCTGTTCGTCTTTCTATCCATCTGTCTGTCTGTCCATCTGTCCGTCTGTCTGTCTGTCTGTTCATCTATCTATTCATCTGTTCGTCTATCTATCTGTCTGTCTATATGTCTATCGATATATATATACATATATATCAATATTAATTTCAAATTATATTTGTTTTTTTTACTTTAAATTTAAATTTGAATAATAAAGATTTATTTTCCCAAAGAAATAAAAAGTTTATTAGACATAAGTCAAAATGTAGGTCAATATAATAATTTTTTGGGCTTTTTACAACTTAATTTCTCCACAAACAAAAGCTAAAACTAGAACTTTTATGTAACATAATACTAAAGAAATGTTGTTAGTCAATGTTTAATTTAGTTTCCCTACAATAAATAAAGACAACTTGAAAGACCTTATTGTTTATTGTCATCTTTTTAAAATATGCATATACCAACTCTCTGGTGTCAAGCACAGCGTATTTGTTCATTTATAGTGAATTGGTGGGTTTTTGTTAAATGTGAGCCAAAATCATCACAATTAAAAGAACCAAAGACTTAAACTACTTCAGTCTGTGTGCATTGAATTTATTTAATACACGAGTTTCACAATTTGAGTTGAATTATTGAAATAAATGAACTTTTCCATGACATTCTAATTTATTAAGATGCACCTGTATTTTTAGTTTAGCTATAAACCCGAACCTATTCATTAAACATTAACCCGACCCGACACCCGAAAGTATTTTGGGACCCGTCGGGCTCGGGTCGGGTAGCAGACCTCTAGTGTAGAGTAGCGCTTGTTGTTTGTCATTTCTCCGATCACAAATGCAGACATGGTTTTATCCTTACATGGCGTGATGCAACGCAACACGTAAAAAGACAGTATAAGTCATTATAATCCGTAATTATGTCCCCACTGGATGCAACAAATGCCTCGTTTATAATGGGTTTTCATGTTTTTGTCTCGTCGCTCCGGCCGGACAGGGCATCACAGTATGGTAAGGGGCGTAACATTTCCGTCACACGCTTGAGGTATTCAGCCAATCACAACGCACTGGATAGCTGGCCAATCACAGCACACCTTGCTTTTCAGACCGATGAGCTTTGTAAAAATCGACGCGTTTCAGAAAGGCGGGGCATAGAGGAGAAACAATAATGTACATTATGTGGAAAATAATGTGTTTTTTGAACCTTAAACCACATAAACACATTTCATTACACCAAATACACAAAATAATGTTCTTTTTAGCAACATCATATGACCCCTTTAAACCTCAATGGGCTCAGGGGAGGCGAGAGAGACGCAGACTCCCGCTATAACTTTACCTGCTGGTGTTGCTGTTGGACAATGTTTCTTTAGAAAAACAAGTAGTTTGTACAATTTTAGTGTTATATTTTATAATATTGGCATTGTTTTATTTTTGTACTACACATTTTTTTATCTCATCCAATATTTTGAGGAGACACCTTGCCTCCTCGGAGGAAATGCCCCTGCTTAACAGTTGTGGCTATGTGACTTTGTCTTTAGAAATGAGGAAGTACACTGTTTTGAAACAGAAACGGACACATTATTAATGCAGGGAATTAATTTTACTGTCAAACTATAGATGTTCATTCACATCCAAACAAATCATGCATTTGACAAACATCCAAGGGAAGTGAAATTAACAGTTAGATGTAGATTTCCCTCAGAGGCACCACATACTGTAGGGGAGTTCAAATTCAATTACTGCTCAGATTGATCTTCCTCTTTTTAAAAAACAAAACAAAACAGGGAAATGAATGTTAGTTTCATTTTATGTTTGGTAAAATTATTCCTGGAAACTGATGCATAGACATAACCACTGTCAAATTACTTTCTTTCTTTTTTTTAAAGTGAGATGTCTGGATGTTGCTTAGTACAAAATGTTATTTCTTAACATAACTGCTTCACCAAAATAGCTTTTTAAAGTTCCTATCAACTGTTTTTCAAGTGGAGAATTATAGAAATTCTAATTGTAGAGTGAATTAAATAATGTGACGCACAAGATCATGAATTGTCTTTAGTGAAGATCCCTGAGATGACATATAGGGATCCCTGAAATTAAGTTAAAATAATAATATCAATTCATTGTTTGTAGAATTGAATGGATTGTGTGTTGATCACATATGTGACCCTGGACCACAAAACCAGTCTTAAGTGTCAAATTTTCGAAATAAATAAGCTTTCCATTGAGGTATGGTTTGTTATGATAGGACAATATTTAGCCAAGATGCAACTATTTGAAAATCTGTAATCTGAGGGTGCAAAAAAATCTAAATATTGAGAAAATCGCCTTTGAATGAAGTTTAAATGAAGTTCTTAACAATGCAAATTACTAATCAAAAATTAAGTTTTTATATATTTACGGTAGGAAATTTACTAAATATCTTCATGGAATATGATCTTTACTTAATATCCTAATGATTTTTGGCATAAAAGAAAAATCAATAATTTTGACCCATACAATGTATCTTTGGCTATTGCTACAAATATCCCCCAGCGACCTAACACTGGTTTTGTGCTCCGGGGTCACATATGGTAAGAAAATGACAAATTCCTCAGAAAAATTCTGCCATTAATCATATTACATGATTGACATAAATTACATTACATCTTGAAAGCAATTTAAATATATAAACATAAGTGATTGGACAGTGTTGAATCCTGACTAATTACATTATTCAGGCAATTATATTCAAATGAGTTCACAGCCTGACTTCAGAAGCCAGTGCAGACTGTAAATGATTTACTCGTAAAGCATTAATTTTCTTTCCTGGTTTGGGGATTTTTTTTTGAAGGATCCAGTTGTCCAATATTACCAGAAGCTGTATGGGAGAAAACAATAAGTCAGAGTTATTTAAAACACTGGAACTGACTATATAAATGTAGCTGAAAGCCAGTTATTGTTTCAGTAGTATGGTCATGTGTTATCTTTGTGTATCCTATTCTTCTTGCAATTCAGAATGGCGACACAGCTGAAAGTTTTGTTTAAACTGTACCCTCTACTGTACAGACATGAATTTGCCAAAAAAATACCTTTTTATATTAAAAAAACAAACAAGCAATCCCAGCCCAGATGAGAAAAAGTGACACAAAAGTAACATAACGCATTACTTTCCATAAAAAGTAACTAAGTAATGCAATTAGTGACTTTTTAAGGGCGTAACGCAATATTGTAATGCGTTACTTTTAAAAGTAACTGCTTTACTGCAGATTAGTCTGTAAATGCACTGGCAGTCCTATAGGCTATTGTGTGTAATGAAGACACATGTGTTTGTATTGGCCGTACCTCACTGTTTGAAGGACATCCATCCCATCATTATCTTTTTCCTTGATAGAGCACTGTGAGTAAAGAAAGGCTTCAATTAAAGAGTGTCAAATATGTCATGTCCTCATTTCATTTCGAGTAACAGAGCATTATGAACATGTTTGTCTTATTTTTGATATGACTTGAGCAATTCATTTAGTTCAGATTGAAATGTAGATGTTCTCAATCTTACCCATTCCAACATTGCTGCCCACACATGTGACTGAAAGACAGAACAGCCAATCACAACGCACTGGATAGCTGGCCAATCACAGCACACCTTGCTTTTCAGACCGATGAGCTTTGTAAAAATCGACGCGTTTCAGAAAGGCGGGGCATAGAGGAGAAACAATAATGTACATTATGTGGAAAATAATGTGTTTTTTGAACCTTAAACCACATAAACACATTTCATTACACCAAATACACAAAATAATGTTCTTTTTAGCAACATCATATGACCCCTTTAAACCTCAATGGGCTCAGGGGAGGCGAGAGAGACGCAGACTCCCGCTATAACTTTACCTGCTGGTGTTGCTGTTGGACAATGTTTCTTTAGAAAAACAAGTAGTTTGTACAATTTTAGTGTTATATTTTATAATATTGGCATTGTTTTATTTTTGTACTACACATTTTTTTATCTCATCCAATATTTTGAGGAGACACCTTGCCTCCTCGGAGGAAATGCCCCTGCTTATAACAGTTGTGGCTATGTGACTTTGTCTTTAGAAATGAGGAAGTACACTGTTTTGAAACAGAAACGGACACATTATTAATGCAGGGAATTAATTTTACTGTCAAACTATAGATGTTCATTCACATCCAAACAAATCATGCATTTGACAAACATCCAAGGGAAGTGAAATTAACAGTTAGATGTAGATTTCCCTCAGAGGCACCACATACTGTAGGGGAGTTCAAATTCAATTACTGCTCAGATTGATCTTCCTCTTTTTAAAAAACAAAACAAAACAGGGAAATGAATGTTAGTTTCATTTTATGTTTGGTAAAATTATTCCTGGAAACTGATGCATAGACATAACCACTGTCAAATTACTTTCTTTCTTTTTTTTAAAGTGAGATGTTTGGATGTTGCTTAGTACAAAATGTTATTTCTTAACATAACTGCTTCACCAAAATAGCTTTTTAAAGTTCCTATCAACTGTTTTTCAAGTGGAGAATTATAGAAATTCTAATTGTAGAGTGAATTAAATAATGTGACGCACAAGATCATGAATTGTCTTTAGTGAAGATCCCTGAGATGACATATAGGGATCCCTGAAATTAAGTTAAAATAATAATATCAATTCATTGTTTGTAGAATTGAATGGATTGTGTGTTGATCACATATGTGACCCTGGACCACAAAACCAGTCTTAAGTGTCAAATTTTCGAAATAAATAAGCTTTCCATTGAGGTATGGTTTGTTATGATAGGACAATATTTAGCCAAGATGCAACTATTTGAAAATCTGTAATCTGAGGGTGCAAAAAAATCTAAATATTGAGAAAATCGCCTTTGAATGAAGTTTAAATGAAGTTCTTAACAATGCAAATTACTAATCAAAAATTAAGTTTTTATATATTTACAGTAGGAAATTTACTAAATATCTTCATGGAATATGATCTTTACTTAATATCCTAATGATTTTTGGCATAAAAGAAAAATCAATAATTTTGACCCATACAATGTATCTTTGGCTATTGCTACAAATATCCCCCAGCGACCTAACACTGGTTTTGTGCTCCGGGGTCACATATGGTAAGAAAATGACAAATTCCTCAGAAAAATTCTGCCATTAATCATATTACATGATTGACATAAATTACATTACATCTTGAAAGCAATTTAAATATATAAACATAAGTGATTGGACAGTGTTGAATCCTGACTAATTACATTATTCAGGCAATTATATTCAAATGAGTTCACAGCCTGACTTCAGAAGCCAGTGCAGACTGTAAATGATTTACTCGTAAAGCATTAATTTTCTTTCCTGGTTTGGGGATTTTTTTTTGAAGGATCCAGTTGTCCAATATTACCAGAAGCTGTATGGGAGAAAACAATAAGTCAGAGTTATTTAAAACACTGGAACTGACTATATAAATGTAGCTGAAAGCCAGTTATTGTTTCAGTAGTATGGTCATGTGTTATCTTTGTGTATCCTATTCTTCTTGCAATTCAGAATGGCGACACAGCTGAAAGTTTTGTTTAAACTGTACCCTCTACTGTACAGACATGAATTTGCCAAAAAAATACCTTTTTATATTAAAAAAACAAACAAGCAATCCCAGCCCAGATGAGAAAAAGTGTTTTGTTTAAACTGTACCCTCTACTGTACAGACATGAATTTGCCAAAAAAATACCTTTTTTATATTAAAAAAACAAACAAGCAATCCCAGCCCAGATGAGAAAAAGTGACACAAAAGTAACATAACGCATTACTTTCCATAAAAAGTAATTAAGTAATGCAATTAGTGACTTTTTAAGGGCGTAACGCAATATTGTAATGCGTTACTTTTAAAAGTAACTGCTTTACTGCAGATTAGTCTGTAAATGCACTGGCAGTCCTATAGGCTATTGTGTGTAATGAAGACACATGTGTTTGTATTGGCCGTACCTCACTGTTTGAAGGACATCCATCCCATCATTATCTTTTTCCTTGATAGAGCACTGTGAGTAAAGAAAGGCTTCAATTAAAGAGTGTCAAATATGTCATGTCCTCATTTCATTTCGAGTAACAGAGCATTATGAACATGTTTGTCTTATTTTTGATATGACTTGAGCAATTCATTTAGTTCAGATTGAAATGTAGATGTTCTCAATCTTACCCATTCCAACATTGCTGCCCACACATGTGACTGAAAGACAGAACATAACTCAAATCATGCATTTTTATGTTAATTTCAGTTATTTAATCAACAGATATTATGAACTATAGTGGCCCAAAAAGTATTTGGACCTATGCAGTACTTACAAAAAGTTTGAAAGTGGCATTTGTTTCAAAGAACAATAAACAATAATTTCACAATTTTTTGAGTTTAAAATGATAAAACAACAGATTTAAAAGATGACAAAAAGTATTGCCACACTTCCAGGTTCATGTTCATATCTGCTTGGACACCTGTGTGAACATTTGATTTGTTTGGAGATTCCATTTGGTTTGATATTTTATCTAATGCAAAGAAAAGCAAAAAAAATAAAAAATCTAAATAATTTTGGGCTTCTGTACTGAACTTCCTTACCTGAATACATCCTGCTGTTACAGAACTGGGCCTTGGTTCCGTCTGGATTCAGTGGGGCAACGACCACAGTGTAGACCTGACCGCACACGATCTCTGACACAGTGCATGTGTAGCTGCCGGGCTCTGGGCTGCACGCGTGAGTCCTGCTTCCAGTGACTTCTGCTGTGTATTTGGTGAGGGCGCTGCTGGACCTCCAGCGCACAATCAGCGTGTTATTGCTTCCTCTATAGAGACGGATGCCTGAGGGACAGCACTGACCTTGAAAGAGACGACAACGTTTGATGAAGCTCCACACTTACATGTTGTGATAAGATTGAACAGGTGACATTATTGCTGTAATCGTTATACACGTTAGCCGGCATTTTTTTACTGGCAAGATTTTATAAATGCTGCATTAACTACAGTTCAACAATGCCTACATATCTATTTGGCTGTTGGCTAACATTATTTCCCCCAGCTGTGTGGCCTAAAAGATGTCAGCTGAAAAGAACAGTCATTTCAGGTTATTACATTTTACACTTTACTTCAGGATATGAAGAATTGTATGCAGTATGACCAGAAACTTTATCATGAAAAGGCTAAATGTTGATTTCATGTTGACTCCAGAAGTAATGCTGCCTTCACGTGCTATTGGAATTCAAAAGTCAGAAATTGGACATGAATGAGCTCTAAAGTCATATTTACAGCTGGGAATAATTTCGATATCCAAGTTTCTGAGTTAGACAGGCATTGAGCTCTAAATATGGCAGAGGAGTGAACCATTTCAGTAGTGTTAAGTTTTCTTTGTTGTTTCCACAAAATGTATATTGCCTTCTTTTGCCATTACAGTTATGTATATTTAGAGAGAGAGAGAATAGAACTCCAGAACTGACCAGAATTCTGACATTAATTCTAAATTCTGACCATCAAGCAAGTTTATATGAAAGTTTATATGGTTGCCATTCAATGAAATGCTACATTTTATTCACATTCTGTTGGATATTGGCTAAATATCTTCTATACATTTGGGCTTTAATAAGAATTTACCAAGGAATAGCCATGATTCCTGTTCTGGCGGACAACAAAGCATTTGAATGCAACAAACTCATGATTACGGAAGGAAAGTAGGAAATTTCCAGTAGCACACGAAGGCAACTTTAAAAATCACTCAACAAATTTATGGAAGCAGTGCAATTTTTATATTATTGCTGTCTGATGAAAAACACATATCTCTGCTTTTGAGAATTTTGACTTTTTGAGAATTTTTTAAATTTTTGAATTTTGACCATTAACAGTTGACCTTGTGACAGAATTCTGTATACAGTATGGTGCTAAAGGTGACTAATCACGTTATTTTGTATTACATTTTGTAAGATTTTTTTTATAAAAAGTGTTTTCTTGCTCTTGAATCATGCATTTTTGGACATAGATTTCATTGGACAGTGACACTATGTATATGAGGACATACTGGCAGAGAATCCGTGATAGGTGCACTCCGCCTTGTGCCCGGTGCGACTAATGGCTTCCAGTGAGACGGTGTAGTTAGTACCACAGGTGATGCATCCCATCACGCATTCTGTTTCCATAGTGTGACACTGTGCATTGCCGCGTGGTGAAGACAGAGAGGTGATGTAGGTCTGGGCGCCGAGAGCGGGCGACCAGGTAACGTTTGTCATAGCCTGGGTCACATGGCTCACAGTGAGACTGTCTGGACAACAAGGTGCTGAAAAAACAAACAAAGTATAATTGTAAACTTTTAAACGAAAAAGATGTATAGGTTGTGTTTCAAAACCCAAGACAGCATTCTAATTGAAATGGAAACTCATAAGTGACCAGGAAGGAAGTACACAAGAGACTTGCCTCACATTTGATTTCAGTAGTTTTCTGTTAGCATGTTGCGAAGCTAATGCCACCATGAGCTTAAATAGGGTGACCATACGTGCCATTTTCCCAGGACCTGGCCAGGATTTCTATATTGCCTAAAATATCTAGGTTTTGGCTTTG